CAGGCTCCCTGCTCAATGGGGAGTCTGCTTCTCCCTCTCCTGCCCCCCCGCTTGTGCTCGCTGCCTCTCTCTCTAATAAAATATTTTTTTTTTAAAAAGAGCCTAAGAACTGGTGTATTAAATTCTGTATTTGTTTAACACATATAGGTTGGAGGGAAAAGGTACTGGCTGGGAGTCATCCTCAAATTCACGTTCACTTAAATGATTATTCATTTCAGGTGAAAAATTTAAACATACTAATTTTATACAAATTTTAAAAACAATATTCTTTTTAAAAGATTTTATTTATTTATTTGACAGAGACACAGCGAGAGAGGGAACACAAGCAGGGGAGTGGGAGAGGGAGAAGCAGGCTTCCCACTGAGCAAGGAGCCTGATGCGGGGCTCGATCCCAGGACCCTGGGACCATGACCTGAGCCAAAGGCAGACGCCCAATGACTGAGCCACCCAGATGCCCCCAAAACAATATTTAAAGTGCATATTAAACACATCTTTGGGCGCCTGCGTGGCTCAGTTGGTTAAGCGACTGCCTTCGGCTCAGGTCATGATCCTGGAGTCCTGGGATCGAGTCCCGCATAGGGCTCCCTGCTCAGCGGGGACTCTGCTTCTCCCTCTGACCCTCTCCCCTCTCATGTGTTCTCTCTCTCTCTCTCTCATTCTTGCTCTCTCAAATAAATAAATAAATAAAATCTTTTAAAAAAAACCACATCTTTTGGGCAAGTAAAACTACTAAACAGCAAGTAATTTATTTAAGTTGTATCTAGTTTTAAGACTGTGACCATAAAGATAAAATAAGAGAATCTGACGAACGTGAAGTTGAACAACCTTTTTATTTATTGACAGATTAAAAACCACAACTCAAGTAGTGCAAAATGCACCACTGAACCCAAATACAAAGACGTGGTGTTGATACACAATGTTTAAGCAATGCTACACTTATTTTTGGCAAAGTGCTGTATTGTTTAGTCTGTGTATAAAACTGACCATCTATAAACCAATCAGTATAAAAATTTCTATAAAAACAGAAAAACAATTTAGACAGTGGCTCAAGAAAACAAGCTGCCATTTATGCATAGATGACGTACAGTATATAATCTAACCAAATGTCCCTTTTGAGTTTTCAAGTTGAAAAAAATTTGTGTCCAGAAATATGTCAAGAAGGCACATAGTACAATCTACAATACTCTCCAGTCTCTATAACTGATGCCCTGCCCTTGAAAAGCAAATGTGTTCACAATTACACTTGAGAAAAAAACCCAAGCCACTTAAAAAAAAAATAACACACACAATTATTGATTAAAGTTCCAAACCTCTGGAGGAAAACAACCAAAAAGCAAGCAAAACCACTCATACATATCAAGCTTGGATACACACACATCGAACTCCCCAAGTCCTGATTTGGTTTTTAGAAGTCCACCTAGAAAACAAATATTAAAACTTCAGGCAAATACAGAGCTAAATGGGGCATTTAATAATTATACAATTAAAAAATATGTTGTAGGGAAAATTCTAAATGATACACAAAACATCCACTGAAGCTGCCTTCCTCTGAATAGTAACATCCCCTCCTACATAAAGGATACTGTTGCAGATAGAAAACGGATGTCCTTACCTGTATACTTTCTAGTACCTCTTTCTCCGCCCTAAACCACTGTAATTGGTGTCATACTTCAAGTGAAATTGGTACATGGCAAGGCTGACACCACTGTATTAGGTAGGTTTTCTAAATAAAGCATTTCATATAAAATTTTAAGCATTAAAATAAGTAGATAAGGATGCCAGTTATAACGCATCAACACGGCTGATGGCAGGGAAGCCGTCCAAAAGAGTAACCTGACTCTTAAAAGAATTTAACCAGTATGAATGGGCCTCACAAAATAAAAGATAATTTTAAGGTAACATTACAAACATATGCTAGTATCTCCAGTACAAGGAGCAGTCTTTTTACTGATTCTAAAAACAAAAATACCTGGAAACTCTTAGACTTTCTCCACTAATCTATTTAAACTTAAATGTCTATCTTCCAGTTGGAATCCTTCATTTTCTTTTCTTTTTTTTTTTGCTTTCCTTTGTTTCCAATTCAAAGAAAATGAGGATAAGATACTTTTTTGCTCTTTTCTACTAAGAGTATAGAAAGACAGTATCTTTCCTTGAGGAGGAACAGAAATAGCAGACACTCAGATTCAATGAAGATGTAAAGATGACAAACCAGTGTACTACACAGATTTGAGAAGTAAAATCAATAGGCGATGCTGAACGGCCCGTTCAAGTTTTAAATAAACTGTCTTCTCACTAGAATCAGAGTACTGATGCAACAGAGAAGGTATGTCAGCAGGAACAGCCTGCCTGGGAACTGGGAAAATGTACAGGAAATTATTGTAGAAAAAGCTCACTGGAGTAGAAAGTCAAAAATCCAATCACTGTGCACCTTCTGCAAAAAATTCCCCACCCACCCAACCATATAAACGCATTGCCACAGAAGATAAATAATGGATGGTTCATGTTCAACTTACAGTGCAATACATAATTAGTTGAGAAAGAAAAAGTAATAAACATAGAAAATACATTATAAAATGTTTTATTAACAAAAACACAAACTTTGAGGAACCTGGTGCATTTTTAAAAACTAAGAAGCTCATTCATGAAGCACGGCTTGTGTGCACCACATATTCCAGACTTTTTCCAAGTAACATTCTACGTATCAGTCTAGAAGCTGTCAGAGCACTAAATTCAGAGGGGTCTGATTTCTCACTGCCTTCTTGAAGCTTTAAGAAATATGCACGAAAGCACAATGTAAACCACTAATATTTACAACAGCAGAAATAATAATTAACTTATAATAAATTGCATTTTGGCCATGTTTCAAAGAATACTTAACAGGTCAACATCATTCTGTTATTATTGGTCTTGTGCCTTGCACACAGTAGATGCCTAACAAACATCTAATGATCAAGAATGAATTGTGTAACCACTTTCTTCAATTCTAACATGTGCCAATTTCAGGCAGAAACCTTAGCTATTGATACAGAAACCAGTCTGATATGACAGATGGCATGGTTAGCCTAAGAAAACATCCCCAAGACTGAAAGTGTTTGCTTTCCAGGTATAAACCATAAAAAACTGGTCTAGATATAAGGCAAACAAAAAGTCAGTAACGGATAGAGATGTAAATGTATTTCAGGTATCAGGAAATTTGAAAAAATAATAGTAAAAAAAAAAGACCATTGCTATTTTATATACAAATCTGTTCATGCTGCCAAACAAATTCTCATGGCTGAACTTTGGTAGTTTGTGAGGTACTAACAACTTGCATGTAATATATGAAAAAAGAGACCCCCATGTATTGAGAGGCTTACATCCAGAAAACATTTAGCTGGTCTATTTTCAAGTTACCAACATATGGCCCATAACAGATATGGTGTAAAACATACACACCTTCATGAAAACTCTACCTTAACCTCTCAACTCTCGTAAACACAAATAGTAACAAAATAACTTCTAGCTCAGTTTGACAAAACTTTACAGACTTGGCCCCTAATCAGAAAACAAATAAATAAAGGGGTAGTTGAACTGGAAAGGGAATGAGGAAAGAAGGGGGATGTAGACTCTTGTTCTAAAGAGACATTCCTGGCACTTCATCACAGCCAGGGGAAGAACAACCTACTACCACCATCTCATGATACTATTTGACCTCCTCTGACTCCAAACGTCCCAGTCTAGGCAGAAAGAGCACAGCTCTTCATTTAAAAAAAAAAAAAAAAAAATCTCCCATAGTTCCCTGCACCGAGCTGTTACAGGGTTACCGAAAAATACAATACTTCACATAACTATAGGCTTTTTCCCTTGAAAACCTTATATAGACATGTATTTATTTAATTAGGGTTGCAGAGAAGATGGAAAAATAAGCTATTTGATTACAAAGGGGATACTACCGTTCTGTCAGTAGAATGTGCTTTGGATTGTGTATGTTTAATTTAGTTAGAGAGGGACCCGGTGAATGTGGATGGCTCAGCAAAACCCATCACAACTGCTAAAAAATAAAGTGACCGGCTGGAGGTACGAAATAGATTTTTCTCTGTGTTAACTGGCCTCTGTGTGACTCGAGCCCTGACCCCTGGCCTCATTAGCACCAACACTCTGAAGAACAGTTGTGGCAGAAAAGCTGCCACAGGCCCCATCCCCATCATCAGATTCAGTAGCGAGGCCCTTGGAATTTCACACCAGGTTCGGCCTTCCCATCAGTACACAGTCCTCACAACAACTGTGAGGGAGGTAAATATTACTACTCCCCCACTGGTGGAGGAAACAGAGGCCAAAGTGGTTAAAGATTCTGCCTGAAGCCCCAGCTAAAAAAACAACAAAAAAAGGAAACTCAAGGGAGCCAACCTGTCACTCTTCATTTAGACGCTGGGAAAAGACATCACCAGGAGTCCCTCCTCAGCCTTGCTCGCCACTGGCAGGACAGGCTCCACGGCAAAGGACGGATCACCGTATCAGCCATACAAAGCCTACCTCTTTTCCCTTGGACAGTCACCAATAAGAAGTCACTAAAGTGCCCGGACGAGTACTTCTGAGTTGACAGCTGACAGGAAAGACTCCAAACGAGTTAAATAGTGGACTAACAGGTTAGTTGTAGACATACATTTTTCCAAATACAATTTCACAGATCTAATTGAATCCCTCTGCGTGGGAGATGAGTGCTTTTGTCCCACGATATTGCAATGTCTCTGTACCACGTCACACAGTCACGTCGGAATTACCGAATGCACTGTTCGCTAACACTTAATATGTACCTGAATTCCAAAATGAACTGCATGGCTAATCCGGAAGGAAAAAACAAAAAAACAAAAACCAAACAAACAAAAAACCAAACCTATACACACAGAAATATATCAAGTTTTCTTTCAAGAGAAAGTTCAGCCATAATTCCATTGTATCCATGGCAACTATCACCTGTTAATGCTCATGTTAGTGTGTAAAAATGTATTCGTTATATACAGAAAAGATTATCAAGTACTGGTCAATAAAGTGTATGGCTGACCCTGAGAATAAATTTTTGCTTACTCAAAATATTGATTAAGTAATACAAAATAAAATGAAATTGAAAGATGCCTATTCTCATACTTGGGAAGAAATGTCTTTAGAATGCTAACTCATGTACACCTTAATAGATTTAAAGACATCCCCAAACACCAAACACTGTAACTGTATTGGTATGTTTCCAAAAATACTCTGAAAAAATTTACAAAAACGTAAATGTTAAAAGCAAGGCATTATGTGATACACAGCATGTAAATCTGGTTTTCAAGATAGTGTCTAAACACATCGATAAAACTATGTGATTGGTCATCAGTTGGCTGTAAAGAAACAGCATCTTCATTGTCCGTCCACACACGTTCACACACATATGCACAAACCAAGAGAATCCAACCAATCTTGAAATTCTTAGTAATTGTACTGACGGGGGCAGGGCTGATGGACAGCCCAGCCATTGTGCTTGACTTGCCTAGAGTGGCAATCCCTGGTAAGATTTTGGCGACGAAGGCTATTTCTGTTCAAAGACTGTCTTTCACTATGTTCTTTTATCCACTGGGAAGGGCGAAAGCTCTTGGGTTGTTCTAGAAAAGCTGTATGAGCTGCAAGAGCTGCAACATAGCAATGGATGTGCTGCCCCATTTCATCTTGAGTCTCCACCCTGAAACGGAAAAACACGGGGACATATTAAGTAACAGAGTGTGTTATTAATGAACTTGAAAAAGGTACTTAGTGATTCAATTTGCCACACCAATTTGTTTATGGCTGAATGAGAGCTTAGTGTCTCATGGCTGACAGACAAGTTTGTATTTCGTGACCACACTAACTGATAATGATAGAAAGGAGAAGTCCATTTTTCACAGAGATATGTCATATAATCCACAGATGGTTAATTAGGTAGACTGCATTTTTCTAAAAAGTGCTTTACATTTTGAGTGAATTTCAATTATGCAGCAAACGGCATTTAGATAAGCTTTTCTGTGAGGGGGACTAACATTTATTGAATACCTGTATTTGCCAACTGTTTTGCAAATCTAATTGTATTTAATTCTCACCATAATCTTAAAAGGACAATATTTGAATTGCCAAATTTTACTGCTCAGAAATCTAAGGCTCAGTGATGTGAAGGTCACAATTACTACCTCATGCAACCAAGATTCTAATACAGGTTTTACGCCAAAGACTGTGGTTAGGAAGCAGGGTCGATACTGATGCATTACGCTAACTGCACCTTCACATACGTTTCCTGTCTATAAGTAAATGTTCCAGGAAACTAGCTTTAAATCTATATTTAAAAGAAATATGCATAAGAAAATTCTATTCATTTAGCATTTTTCTGGATAAAAAGCTACCTGCTTATTATAAAAGACAACTCTAAGTTTTTAACTGATTTTGCAACAGGGCACATTTTGGGACGGCCTTTGCATAGTAATGTCACAAAGACCTGTGGAGAACACATCTTAAAATATGGCTACAAACCACATCATTATTCTATGTTTTCTACATTAAAAGCTATCTAATAGGATAGATAATAAGCTACATAAACACATGACATGAAGAGTTTTAAGAGGGTTATTTTATACAAGGGCAGTTATAGATTGTATCTGTAATCACTAGAGGAAAACACTACCACATTTTTTTAAGATTTTTCTTAAAAATAGAATTAAAAGGGGTCACATTAAGAAGCTAATAGAAAGAAGTTAATATAAAGACAGCAGGAGTTTTTAAAAGGTGGGCATTTTGAGTCCTTAGTCTTCCAGATCAGACTGATAACACATATTACACAGTCTCAAAGGGAATATACTTACTCTGTGCCCGTGAGTCTTATAAGCAGCTTTTCCTGGCCCTACAAATGTTAAATGGTGAACTATTAAATCACTAGTAAGATTTAAAATGCTATTTAATTTTACTGTTAGGACATGGTGCACTTTCTGTAATTAAAACTGGTTTACTATGGGTCATTAAAGGCACATGTATTATTTAAGATTATGATAGCACATAAACCTCATAAACAGTACTTACAAAGGCCAAAATATAATAAAACACTCTCTGAAGCCCATCTGAAATTATGAAACACCCTCCTCTTACATGCTTTATGATGATACCCCCAAGGATAGACAGGATGGAAGCAATCTAACTTTTAAAGACACCATTTATTTCCTACTCAGAAAAGATAGATATTTACTAAATAGCCATCCTAATTTTGGTAACACCTGATCTATCTTGGTTTAGTGGTTTTTTTTTAAATAAGAATTTGAAATCCAGAAATAAAGATGCTAAAAATTTTTTAGTTATTATAAAACTGTGATAATTTGCAGTACTTTCCTGTGTTCAGAAGGAATTCATAGTGGGGCACCTGGGTGGCTCAGTCGTTAAGCGTCTGCCTTCGGCTCAGGTCATGATCCCAGGGTCCTGGGATCGAGCCCCACATCAGGCTCCTTGCTCAGCAGGAAGCCTGCTTCTCCCTCTCCCACTCCCCCTGCTTGTGTTCCCTCTCTCACTGTGTCTCTCTCTGTCAAATAAATAAAATCTTTTTTTTTTAAAGATTTTATTTATTTATTTGAGAGAGAGAGAATGAGAGATAGAGAGCATGAGAGGGAAGAGGGTCAGAGGGAGAAGGAGACTCCCTGCTAAGCAGGGAGCCTGATGCGGGACTCGATCCCGGGACTCCAGGATCATGACCTGAGCCGAAGGCAGTCGCTTAACCAACTGAGCCACCCAGGCGCCCTCAAATAAATAAAATCTTTAAAAAAAAAAAAAAAAAAAAAAGAAGGAATTCATAGAAAGTGAAGTGTGTTCTTTTTGATCCTATCTATATGGAAAAGTACATATTTGTTTAACTTTCCTATACCTTATATCAAAACATAGGACAAGATATAAAAACAAACAAGATACAAAAAAATGATCATTCTGATTGCACCAAAACTGCAAACACATAACCAGATGCAGAGCATGGTCTTGGACTAGACGCTGGTTTGGACAAACGAGGTGAAATATTCTGGACTCTAGTGCAGAAAGCAGAGTATGGTGTGGGTAGTGGATGAAGTGAAATTTTACTGAGAAGAAAAAGGGGCAGATCATTGCCTAAAGAAGCAGGTTATAAAACAGTATATACAGCTTGATCCCATTTAGGTTAAGAATGTGTTTGCGCGTTCGTGTGTGTGTGTGTGTGTGTGTACGCTCACTCATGCACATGCACGCGGTGGGCACAGAGAGAAAAAACGACCTGGAAGGATGTGCCCGAGGGTGTTCACAGTGGTCATCTCTGGGTCGTGCAAACATCTTTTTAAATTTTTACTCTTTGCATTTTCTAATTTTCTGCAATGCACATGTACTACTTCTGGAATAATAATATTATTTACAAAGCTGCTGTACATATGCACACACACTTTAAACACTGACTAGTAAATATACAAATATCAGTATGTTTAAAGTGACTGTTAATCATGCTAAATTCTTGAGTGGAATTCCACAGAGAGGGGATCAGAATCAGGTGGGAAGCATTTCTGGGAACTTAATTTGAATCAACTATAAGGCAATTTAATCAACACCATGTCTAAGAAATTTTAAATTTTTGTTGGAATGCCTGAAACACTGATCTCTTGATAAACTTAAAGCGCTGAATCAAGTGCCAGTTAAAGTAACATTTCCCATCAAAGATCTTACCCAGTATAAAGCCGGGTAACTATATAAGCAAATTGTTTCTCAGTTTGGTAAAGGACGTGTTTATCCTCATAGAAGATTACAAGATTACTTACAGTATTCAGAGTTGTGAGTGCAGCAAACTCTGGTAAACTTAAATGAACGAGCTGCCTAGGTTTTGTTTGTATTTGGCAAACAGGAAATAGCAGAAGATACATACAATTACCCAGTTAGTTGAGTTAGAGCCCAAATAATCTAAAAAGAGGCCTTTTGGATTACAAGACTAACTACAGGAACATTCTGAACTGCTCCAAAGATTCCACGTCACCTGTAGTGCTGACAGGTATATAGGGAATTAGGGCCAGCATCCCCCAAATACTGGAACGCCATAGGCACATTCCACTAACATGCACTGTGAATAGCCAGACGTTGGGGTGATTAACATGGCCATGGGCTTTATTTTAGCAGGTGGAAGCAATCTTGAATATACTCTCTGGATAAAGGCCATAGAATGTCTGGAAGTTTGCTTTGGAACATATCAATCTTTACTGACCAGACACTTGCCCTGAACCTTTCCAGGCCCTCAGCCTATCTGCCATTCAAACAGAGCCTTTCAGACCAATTAGGACTTCCACATAACAGGAAAATATTTTTCGGGTATGAAATCTTTCCTCTGTAAGGCAGGAAACAACTCTTTGGGCAACATGTTTCAGTAAAATTGCTATTCTACTTCATGTTTAAGATTTGTCAAGTTTTCGAGGTTAAGTGCCATTTGATGTGACCCAGCTAAGACTACCTGGAAGAAAATAAGAGTTTTATTTTAAGATATACTACTCTTGGGGCGCCTGGGTGGCTCAGTCGGTTGAGCGTCTGACTCCTGATTTCGGCTCAGGTCATGATCTCGGGGTTGTGAGATCGAGCCCCGCGTCGGGCTCTGGGCTGAGCGGGGAGCCTGCTTAAGATTCTCTCTCCTTCTCCCTTTGCCCCTCCCTGTTCGCACGCTCTCTCTAAAAAAAAAAAAAAAAAAAAAAAAAGATATACGATTCTTGTTGAATTTGATACCCCAAATAACTCAGTGTATAAAGTGCCAGTTACATTGAGACACTTAGCAGAAATGCCAGTCTTTTCTTCTCTGTCACTAGCAGAGTACTATAAATCCAACAGCTCTCCATTATATAATTGGGGCCATGTTCTAATGAATTTTTCTGAAAATCTAAAATGAACATGTTTTTTCATACCATCCACTACCTTGTGCACTATGCACGTGCTTTCATAAATCTCTAACAAGATTACTTTGCATCTTCTAAAAAATCAGCTTTGACTTGCAGTATAAATAAATAAACCGCATGCCAAACAGACTGCTTGTGGATAGAGTAAAATACAGCTAACCCCTGAACAACTCAGGGGTTAGGGGCGCCAACCCCTGTGCAGTTGAAAATCCATGTGTAAGTTACGACTCGCCCAAAACTTAACTGCTAAGAGCCTCTTGTTGATTGGGAAGTTTACCAATAACATCAACAATCCATCAACATATATTTTGCATGTTATAGGTATTATCTACTGTATTCTTACAATAAAGTAAGCCAGAGAAAAGAAAATGTTATTAAGAAAATCCTAAGGAACACAAAATACATTTACAGTCCTGTACTCTGCTTATCGAAAAAATTCTGTGTATAAGTAGACCCATGTAGTTCAAACCCATGTTGTTCAAGGGTTAACTGTACTCATAACATACCTGGGGCTACTTGGGTCAGGACATTCCTCAGTCCCACAGCTGGCCTCACTGATACCAGGGCAAGAGCTATGCACGGCATAGACAGACATACTGGGGTGTTCAATGAGAAGGTTTTCCATAGGACTGGTTTCCACCTTGAGAGTGGTTAATCCACCTGCAGTAAAACATGGGGGAGGGGTGATAAACCAGCTCTCCTCCATCGGACAGGACTCAAACTGGAGCAAGCAGGAATCACTTGAATCAGCCAAGCACTCGAGAGATGCAGGTAAACAGGAAAAGACTGGAGGGTGCTCAGTACGTGACTCTTCACTGATGGCTTCGGCTTTGGCTTCTGCTGCTGAGAGACCAGCGCAAGCGTCTACATCATAGTCCACGTTCGTTGATGAAGTCCCACGGGAACAGGAGTATCCCAATGGTATCATATTCGGGGCACAGAAAAAGAACAGACGATACTGTTAGCTGATGTTCACATTCCTCTTTTTGTTTAGGTGAGACACAAAACCATTTATATTCCCTCATAATGATTATAAAATGATTTCTGAGCACCTAGTGTGAGTGCAGCATGGTGTAACCCTGCATCAGATGGATTATGGTGGCTCTGGGGAATGGTTCTGAAGGCTGTGTCTATCCTGCTGAGTAAACGTGATGAGCAATGTGGGTCACTGTTCGTCTAGCACAGGATTTCCTATTAAAGGGCATCTGATCTGAACAGCGTAGGAGAGTTGCCAAACTGGAAGATCTGACGTCAATCAATTTCACTGACTGATCATCTGGCACAGGATGTTGCCTGCAATTTTTTTAGACAAATTCTTGCTTATTTACTTTTCAGGCTTCCAAACCTTCAGAGTTACTAGTTTGCTTTTGCAAAAACTGAGACGTGAGAGTTTCCATTTTTGCTGCGATGATTAACAGCTAAGAATACCTTACCTATGAAGTCAACAAGAATCCATTCATCATCTTCTTTCTCACTAAATTCTGGTTCTTGGTTGGGAGAAGTGTTGACTTCACCCACAAACATTTTATTCAGTCTCTGGAACATGGTTAAGGCAAGATCGAGACTTTGGCGGGATGTCTTTACGGCTGAGATTTCAAAACACTGTCTTCAGTCAGCCTGATGGCACGACGGGAGATTAAAGTGCACAAGGGGCTTATTCAACTTAGGTGAGAGAGGAGTCGTTATCCCTAAAATAAAACAGGAAAAAAAGGTTATTTCCAATCAGCATATATTTACACAATATGTGTGTGTGGTTTCAAAAGCGTGTACCCACTCACACGCACACACCCCTTTAGAAAAAAGCTCGAGCCTTAGCCTGTAGCTACAGCCGTTCCCTTCCTACAGGTGTCAAACACAAGAAATGCAGTACCTCTTTATTTATAAACCATTATGAATTGAGTACTCAAATGCAACCTGCAAATCAATGTGAAATGAAAGGGAAGGAGTTGGTTGTTTTTCCCATCTGTGCTTTTATAAGGGATAAATCTGACTCATGTAGTTCAAGCTGAAATACTGCTTTTCTGTAAGAAGAAGAGCAAACACCAGATATTAACGGTCTTGCTATATGACATTCAACCATCCAGAAGCTGCCAAAGGAAGCCTGCAAGAGTACTGGATGACCACCAGCTTTCCCTGGCTCATTTTCTCTTCTGTTCTATTCTTCTATATGACTGTAAGCATACCTAATTCCATTTAAAAATCAGTAATACAGCATAATCCCACAGTTGGCACAGAGAAATTTACACTGTAGAAAATTGAGGAGGACAGCAGCTAGCCCTGGAAACCATTCACCGTGTGGCAGCAAGCAGGGAGGTGTTGTGGTCAACACGCCTGGGTTCAAACGCTGGCTCTGCTGTTTGCATTCCATGTGAGAGAGGTCATGCTACTTCAGTTGGCAATAGTTCTACCTCATGGAGTTCTGGTGAGTTCTTTTTTTTTTAAGGGAGAGCACACCAAGCAGGGGAGCAGGGAGGGGCAGAGGGAGGACAGAGAATCTTTTTAAAAGATTTTATTTATTTATTTGACAGAGAGAGACACAGCGAGAGAGGGAACACAAGCAGGGGGAGCGGGAGAGGAAGAAGCAGGCTTCCCGCTGAGCAGGGAGCCCGATGCAGGACTCGAACCCAGGACCCTGGGATCATGACTTGAGCCGAAGGCAGACGCTTAACCAACTGAGCCACCCAGGCGCCCCAGGAGAGAGACTCTTTAAGCAGGTTACATGCTAAGCCCAACACACGTCTCGATCTCACAACCCTGAGATCATGACCTGAGCTGAAATCCAAGATTCTGATGCTCGACCAACTGAGCCACCCAGGCGTCCCCCGGTGAGTTCCAAGTGAAGAACTGTGGCCTTGTCTGATCTCAGTCCAGAATTCCAGATTTATATAACCATTTCTCCCTGGTTACCTGATGGCCATATCAAAGCTAACACATGCCAAAGAGAACTTCTAATTCCCCCCACAAACCCACATACACTGTCCTCCTTCCCTTTCTCAGCAAGAAGCAGCAGTGCCCAGCATTTATTCAGGCAAAAACCCAGCAGTTACTCCTTCTGCTCCCTCCCCAACCCCTCAACCAAACTTTCACCAAGTCCTGTTGACTCTAGCTGCACATGTGCCTTACATGTGCCCACTCCTTGCCACCACTTTCATCCTAGTTAAAGCCAATCCGGTGTCCCTCTGGATTCTGCCAATCACTACTTCCCTGCCGGTCTCCCTGATCCTGCTCTTGTGAAAAATGGGATAATGCGGCAACCTACTTAGCAAGGCATTTGGCACAAAGTTCTCAGTCAATGTCAACTATTATTCTACAAATATTTACTGAATACCTATTATGCATCAGGCAGAGGGGAGGCAGCAGTGAATCCGGCCCTCCCATGGCAAGTGTTAACAACCCAATGTGATGAATGCCACGGAAAAAGAACGGGGTGTTCCTCAGATCTAGGCAGGTAGCGGTCAGGAAGGACTCCTGCAGTAAATGACTTTGGTCTTGAGTGGTTGAGACGATCAAGAATGGAGGAAGCCTATAGATTAGTGAGAATGTGGCACCTTCTGTATGACTCAAGATCCAGATGAATGGTCATGACAGCAGGCTGGGGGTGCTAAGCAGGAACCAGATCCTATAGGACCTTCTGGGCCAGAAGTTACGTACAGGGATGGAAAAGTCAAGGATGACCCTCTACCAGAAGCCAATGGGGGGGGATGTTGGGACCATTTAGCAGAAGAGGCATACTGCAGAAGGTGTAGGTTGGGCATTTTGGACATGCTGAATTTGGGAATCTGCAAGTCACGTGCTTGGTGTTGTCTACTAGGCAGCTGAATATATATACAGCGCTTTGGAGTGCAAGGGCATGGTCTCAGCTGGGGGCACAGATTTGGGAGTTGTCAACACAAAGGGGGTAACAGAAACCATGAGTAGATGAAACCATCCAGGGATGGCAAAAACCATCCACTAAATGATACTCTTTCTCATGAGCATCAGCCTTGAATCCATAACTTCAGACTCTTGACCCTTCACTTTCAAAACGATCATCATTTTTAGCTGTAAAGGTAGTTATAATCCCGTAGTGGAGGAGACTCTTGGTTGACTTCTTTATGTGCAAATGGGACTGCTAAAACTGTTTGGCACGCTACTATGAATGTGTAGTACTACAAATGTGTTCAAATAAATGACATTTGAACACTTTTGTGGTCACAATCCATCATCATCAGCCATAAAAGAGAGTAAACAGGAAATGTTACTTGCATAACAGTCTTCCAGAAACCCTTCTGGAAAGCAGCATGGCTAAATCATGAAGGCTGGAGCACTAGTACAGAATTCAAATTCAGCCTTATGTTCCATGTAAGAGAAGTTAGAAGAAAAGTGGGCTTTTGTAGTTTGCTTGACCTACTGCAGTGTCATAGTTATATCCTAAAAGATGAGCTATCACAAAGTCTGATGTAAATAAAGGTTTTCAGCATATAAGCTAGGAGGGGGAAAAAAGATACTTAAAAAATCTTCCCCCTATTTCTCTTAAATTATGAAGGCATATATTGGCCCCAAGTACAATCTTGTGTCTGCTGGACCAGTTGAGAGAATAATCCCAGTTTTCCAGAGTATAGGGCTGGCTTCAGGCCCTGTATCAGCTAGGAAGCTGGAGCTGCTGGGTGTAAAGCAGGGTACCCCACAGAAAACCCCTGCTCATTCTGAATGAGCACCTTGTCCCCCAACTGTGATGCCACATGAGGGTAACTCACTGGGGCCCAGGCCAGTTAAGGGGCAGCTACAAGGCAGAAAACAATGCTGGCGCCATTGTGGCTGGGCAGCTGTGGGTTCCCAACTGCAAACTATTCCCCCTCTGGCTACAGCTCCAAACCCATGTGATAGAAGCCAGCTTACGCCTAGAACACCTACAACTCTGCCACAGGAAAGGTGCCTCTGGAGGAACTTTCCACAGGGCAGCACAAGTCCATCTTCCTTTGGTTTCCTGAAGTCAGAGGCTGCCTTGAGATATCCCATATCTCCGGCAAGGGCAACCACCTTGAGTGGGCAGAATATTCAGGAGCCCAGCCAGGCAAGGGGAAGAGCTCATTCTCATCTGTCCTGAGTCAGGGCTCGTATTTACATGACACACCTGTTGAAGCCCTGTGGGAAGGACAAAGACTAGTTTGGGGAGAGGTGGAAGGAGGGCTGGCCTGGGCACCAGCAGGAGTGGGTTCTGGCTCTCCCTCTACCACAGGTGGCTGGAGCTAAACAATCTAGCCCTTCTGAGCCTCGGTCTCACCACTGGAAAAACGGGGAGACTGTGTTGGGATCACCTCTTTACTCTCCCCATAGACCTCTAGCACAATGAAGAAGTGGGGTTGGACTAACTTTGCAAGGTTCCTTTGGTCCTGCTTTCTGCAGCAGTCAGAAAGGACGAGGAGCTGTTGGAGAGCCCCCACCATGCTAACGCTGTTTAGCGAGGTGGCCGCAAGGCACATCAGGTGAATGAGCACTTGAAATATGACTTGTTTGTTCAAAAATCTGAATTTTAGATTTTATTTAATTTTAACCCATTTCAGATTCAAATTTGAAAGGTGACAATTGAGCCAATTTTTGGAAACTTTCAAGTACGTTCTGAACAACTGATTAACTATTTCCGATGAAAATTTTACATATGAATTAAGATGTGATATGTTTAAAATATACCAGAATGTATTTCCAAAGACTTAGTGCCCCCTCAGAAATAATGTTACATATCTCAATAATTTTTATACTAATTATATGTTGAAATAAGAAGTAATTTTGGGCGCCTGGGTGGCTCAGTTGGTTAAGCAACTGCCTTCGGCTCAGGTCATGATCCTGGAGTCCCGGGATCAAGTCCCACATCGGGCTCCCTGCTCGGCGAGGAGCCTGCTTCTCCCTCTAACGCTCCCCCCCCATGTACTCTCTCTCTCTCATTCTCCCTCTCTCTCAAATAAATAAATAAATCTTTAAAAAAAAAGAAATAAGTAATTTTGAAATATGTTAGGATAAGTAAAATATATTAATAGAATTAATTTCACCTATTTTTCTCTCTTAATGTGGCTACTAGAAAATTTAAACATACATGTAACTCACATTACATATTTCTACTGGACAATGCAGTTCTAGAAAAATCTCTCTAAAATCTTGATAGCCTAACCCTATGACCCAGGAATTGCACTACTGGGTATTTACCCCAAAGACACAGATGTAGTGAAAAGAAGGGCCATATGCACCCCAATGTTCATAGCAGTAATGTCTACAATAGCCAAACTGTGGAAAGAGCCAAGATGACCTTTAACAGATGAATGGATAAAGATGTGGTCCATATATACAATGGAATATTACTCAGCCATCAAAAAGGATGAATACCCAACTTTTGCATCAACATGGATGGAACTGGAGGAAATTATGCTAAGTAAAATAAATCAAGCAGAGAAAGTCAATTGCCATATGGTTTCACTTATTTGTGGAACATAAGGAATAGTATGGAGGACATTAGGAGAACGAAGGGAAAAATGCAGGGGGTGGGAATCGGAGGGGGGGAGACGAACCATGAGAGACTATGGACTCCGAGAAACAGACTGAGGGTTTTAGAGAGGAGGGGGGAGGGGTTAGCCTGGTGAAGGGTATTAAAGAGGGCACGTACTGCATGGAGCACTGGGTGTTATACGCAAACAATGAATCATGGAACACTACATCAAAAACTAATGATGTACTGTATGGTGACTAACATAATAAAAAAAAAAATCTTGATAGCCTAACCTCCCAATTACCCAGAGACTGGCCCTACCCAGTCACTGCTATCCTTCACCTTTGTTCCTGCCCAGGAATGGAGGCTCCTAATGGGGCTGGTTCTATGTGGAGCTGTAAGTCAAAGCAGAGCCTCAGACT